ACCCTGGCTTCAGATACAATTTAAAAATACTGTTGTGGTGCAGATCTCTGACATTAGAGAATTTACTTGCGAGGCATTAAACTCTAAAGACGGTCTTTCAGGATACTTAATTATAAAGGTAAATGAACTAGCATGGATGTCAGTAAACAACAATGGATTTTTTGAAAATGTGATTTTAAGTGGTGTTTTGATATATTCCTGGCAGTGCTACATCTTTATGACAGACTGCCAGGATATAATTCAAAATTATGATGGTTTATTTAAAATAAAATTTCTACTAGAAAGATAAATGGTATTTACAGTTTTTTATGCTGATGAAGGCTTCAGAAGGAGAGTTTAAAAATATTTTTTTCCCTTACTCTTTCAGAACTAGATGAATCAACTGTATTTGTACTTGGAGCAGTGCTATACAAAAATTTAGAACTCATTTTGCCCACTTTGAGGTAAGAAATTTCATAAATGCAATATGAATTGGACTGTTTCGGGATCATAACTACAGTATGTGTCAGGATAAATGCAGACAACCAAGACTGTTTGCATATTGGTATTGCTGGATTTTTTTTCCTGTAATTTAAAATAGATATGTGTATATTTGTCTTTCCTTCATGCTTAGTCATTTTTATGATGGAAATAGCCTTTTCATCAAATTGGCTTAAGTTATATTTTATGTACTCTACATTAAGCTTAATTACATAAATGTTCAATTAGAAGTATGCACACTGATGTACTTTAATGGTTCAGGCCACTTGCGCCTCAAACTACTGTTTGTCCAGTTAGTATAAGGGATCTAGTAATGACATCATAACCTGATGAGCTAAGGCTGTCTGCTGTACCTTTACAGAGGTCTTTAGTAATAGTTTTCCAAGTACTTTTTCAGTGCAAGTTGTATTCAAAAGGAACAGCAGAGCTATAGAGAGGGTCCATTTTAGAAACAAGACATGCATGTGCCTGAACAGCTGTGGTATGTCGGTTGCAATGGCCATACACATAAAGAAATAGAAGGGTCTCTTGTTTCACTTTTTCCTTTCTGTGCTTGATAACAGACAATTTGGAAATAAACAATTCACCCCTTCCTTCTCAAATTACTGGTTAAGATAATTTCATGGTCCATTAATACTTACCTTATTTCACATGATACTGTGCACCCTTGGACTACTAATGTCCTTTTATGGTAAAAGGAACGGGTGCAGATTGTATCACAATAGTTGCTAATGAATTTTTTATAATTAGAAAGGATAGTAATTAGGAAGACACCAGATCACCTTTCCCTAGTCTATTTAACCAAAACTTCAGGATTTGAGACAAAGGATGGAAAAACGACAGGTTTTTGCCCAAATCCATTTGAAAACAAAAAAGACTCAGTTCTAAGAAAAAAACAAACAAACAAACAAACACTTGCCAGTAAAGTAGCAATGCACTGTGCAGTGAGTAGCTGCAATGCTGAGGACAGAAATCTCTCTGAGGCAGAGTGCAATTCAAAGAGTGATGTCCTGACAGGGCACCTGGAAGCCTGGGGAATGCTGGTGAGAGCCGTCTACGCTTAAGGCATGGTATAAGTGACAGCCCATCCATTCCTGAAACGTCACTAAGCAGTTCCATTTGTTGTGCCAGTTCCTGAAATTAGCCAGGAAGAGATGTTTGTGAGAGATATTTTTTCTTCTCTTCTCCCATATTCAAAGAGACAGAGCCAAATGGCTATTATAGTTAGCCCTTTTTGGCAGACCTTAGAGACAATGTGCCAGTCCTAGAACGGCATTGAGGTGTCCATGTACCTTTCAGACCTTTATATTGTAAACCACAATCTATGATCATGCCTTTTCAGCTCTTATAGGTCAATAGTTTTGATTTACAAAAAACAAGTATGAACCTTGAATACTGTATATTTGCTTATATGAAAAGCCTTTCAGGGCTTTTATTTCATCCATTAGAAAAGAGAACTTTATAGGCCTTACTAGATTTTTGCTAGAATCAATAACATCCCAAGTAGCAGGAATAGGGGCAGAATAGGGACATAAAAGTATAGTAACTTAAGTACTATGGACTGTGAGAAAGTGCATCTCAGTTCCTAAATGTTTGCTTTTATCTGTTCTACTTTCAGCTGGTTACTGATTTACATACCAAATTTGACCACTGCTCTGTACAATTCAGTTCATAGGGAGGTTTTGTGAGCTTCTAAAGCAAAATGGTCCAATAATCTATGTATATCTATTCATAAATGAAATCTTTAGAAATTCAAATACAAAGATATCCCACTTTGCCTCTGAATATGTTCAGTATTATTTGATTCCCATTCTCAGCTGCCCAAGAAAAGGAAATGAGCACTATTACTTTCTCTCATGTATGTGAATAGGGAATAAAAGTCCTTATTAATCTGTGATATAAAAATATAACATATATTCTCAGGTACCTCTAGTCTCTTCTTTGTTCAGAGTATAGCACCTCAGTACTTCCCTGCACTTCTTTAATATTTATAATGAAGTTATACTGAAACTTTTACAGCTTACATCTCTTACCTCATTGGGAAGTGTATCATACTGGATTTCTTTGCCCATGGCAGTCATATTCAAAATTTGATCTCATGACCTTAAAACAGCACCTCAAAGGTGGCACAATTTCAAACTGTTTTCATAGAATCATAGAATCATTGATCAGTTTGGGTTGGAAGGGACTTTCAAAGGCTATCTAGTCCGCCCCCCCTGCCATGGGCTGGGACATCCTCAACTAGATCAGGTTGCTGAAAGCCCCATCCAAGCTGACCTTGAACACTTCCAACGATGGGACATTCACAGCTTACCTGGGCAAACTGTTCCAATGTCTCATCACCCTCATTGTAAAGAATTTCTTCCCTAGGTCCCATCTACCTTCCTTCTGTTTAACACCAATGTACCTTGTCCTGTCACAGCAGGCCTTGGTAAAAAGTCTCCGTCTCTATTATGAGCCCCCTTTAAGTATTAAAAGCCTGCAATAAGGTCTCCCTGAAGCCTTCTCTTCTCCAGGTGAACAATCCTAGCTCTCTCAGGTGTTCCAGCCCTCTGATGATCTTCATGGCTCTCCTCTGGACCTGCTCTAACAGGTCGACCCCGCAACTGGATGCAGTACTCCAAGTGGGGTCTCACAAGAGCAGAGTAGAGAGGGAGAATTGCCTCCCTTGACCTGCTGGCCATGTTTTTTTTTGACGCGGCCCAGGATATGGTTGGCTCTCTGAGCAGCAAGCACACATTGCTGGCTCATGTCCAGTTTTTCATCCACTAGTACCCCCAAGTCCTTCTCAGCAGGGCTGCTCTCAATCGCTTCATCCCCCAGTCTGTATTGATATTGGCGATTGCTTCACCCCAGGTCCAGGACCTTGCACTTGGCCATGTTGAACTTTTTGAGGTTGACACGGGCTCACTCCTCATACCTGTTCAGGTCCCTCTGGATGGAATCCCTTCCCTCTAGCATATCAACTGCACCACTGAGCTTGGTGTCATCTGCAAACTTGCTGAGCGTGCACTCGATCCCACTGTCTATTTATTTAAAGTTATTAAATACTATTTTATGCATTTTGATGCATTCAAACCATTATAATGTTCATTCAGATGGAATTCTGAATGGGAAAAAAGCTGCAACTGTGGTTAGTGCTGAATTTGTTGAGTTATTATACTCTGCAAAAAATTAGAACTACAATGCAGGTTTTAAAGGAATCTTTATTATGGGGTGGTTTATCATTTTACACTTGTTCAGGTACATGAATGAAGTGAAGGTTTCCATACATCCCACTGCATTTGGAAAAGGTTTATTTTGTTTGCTCACATTTTGCAATGAAAAACTATCATCTTACTTGGGTTTATATTAATTACTGTTGATACTAATCTTATTTAACTGTAATAAGTGTTATAGAATCATAGAATCGTTATGGCTGGAAAAGACCGTTAAGATCATCAAGTCCAACAGTTGTCTAACTCTAATGGCCCCACGTCTGAACCATGTCCCTGAGCACCATATCTAGATGGCTTTTAAATACATCCAAGGATGGCAATTCAACCACTTCCCTGGGCAGCCTGTTCCAGTCTTTGACAACCCTTTCAGTGTAGAAGTTTTTCCTAATGTCTAACCTAAACCTCTCCTGGCGCAACTTGATGCTATTTCCTCTTGTCCTGTTGGTTGTAACTTGTGAGAAGAGACCAACGCCCCCCTCTCTACAAATCTCTTTTCAGGCAGTTGTAGAGAGCGATAAGGTCTCCCCTCAGCCTCCTTTTCTTCAGACTAAACAACCCCTAGTCCCTCAGTTGCATTCCTTAATATCAGTACTATAACGTATGCAAGCTTTTGCATCAACACAAGGAGCTGCTTTGTTTAAAATAAACAAACAAATAAATAAATAATATCTCAGTATATCTTTAGGGAAAATCTTTTGAAGCACCTAACCACAGAATCCCCATCTGGAACATCACAGGTGTTCTGTGAGTAAAATGAAGATTTCATTATCCATGACGGTCTATACAATATATTACACAAACTCCAGAACTAACTGCATTTTACCATATGGGCTTGATTTTTCTTGTTTTTACTGGCATAGAGTCTATTAAAAGGAAGTCTTGTAAACACAGTTTGAGATGAGAACTTGGCAATTACATTAATATGGAACTTTTTGGACAATGTGTTTAATCCTAGTGGTACACGTATTTTATTCAGAGAATTTTGCCAGAACTGTTTAAACAAGACGTTAGGGAAAAGAAAAGTACTTTATTCTTCCTTATAAAATGGAATAATTATTTTTTTTCCATGCACAAATAAATAAACTTCATCTGAATCTATTTCCTAAGATACTTTGCTGTGTTCTTCCTTATAAAATGGAATAATTATTTTTTTTCCATGCACAAATAAATAAACTTCATCTGAATCTATTTCCTAAGATACTTTGCTGTGTTGCACTGTTCTTGTAATGTCATATGGATTTTTAAAAATCATATATTGAAATATTGAATATTTTCAGCACTATAGACTGAATATTATTTCCATAGCTCTTGCATCCCTGAGCACGTTTACATTATTGTTAGGTTCACAGAAAATTGATTCTCAGTATAATACTCATCTAAAAGCTATTATATATAATTCCTCTCGTGGGCACTCTGAAGGAATACATTGCATATTGCCATACTGAATATAGTTTTTAACTTTTCCTTTAACAAATAAGAACAAATAAAGAATCAATGAATTTGCTGTAGCAAGCTTTTTTTCCCATCGCTTAAACAACCATACTTTTCCTGCTCTAATTTCCTGCACTGAAATGTTCTCTTTCCCCATGTGAAACATCATTCCTAACCCTCTCTTTGGGGTGCTGTACAGCCAGAGAGGCCCTTAGACTTCCTTAAGTCAGCTTTGTTTGACTGAGGATGCAGTACGTCAGACAGTACTGCATAGCATTACTACTATAGCATTCACAATTTTTCTGTAATGTATACAATATCTACACATTGAACTATAACTTCTTTTATTCTGTCCTGACATAGCAACATGCCTTATTCATAATTTCATTTTTCTTGAGCAACAGTCATTCTTTTTAGAAAAGAAAACCTGAATTTCATCACATAGGATCAATACGTATACCTTTATATAAAAGAATACCCTCAAAATATATAGCCAGATAGAAAAAGAACTTAGTAAAATAACATTATTTTATTAATATTGTTATTAATTCAGATCAAAAAAAACACTAGGACCGCAGCTCTGGAAGTTCTTTCTGAGCCTTTACTCAAATGAACTTTGTTGTCTTGAATCTTCAAGGATTTATTTAACCATAGTTCCCAAGGAATTTGATGTATTTTTTGAGTAATTGATTTCAAAATTTAACCCTGATGTGTATTTTTCTGGACAGTCAGCAGAGCACCATCCTGTATAAGTTCATTTCTCATTAATTTTAGTTTTTTTCTGATGGAGAAAGAGGTAATGGTGAAGTTAGCCTCCGCCTATCATAAAAAAGCTATAAAATAATGCACTTGCCCAGGAAGTGTGAGATAGGTCATTCCCATTATAAGAGGGACTGAAACCCACATATTCCACCTCCTGGGATGTTTTGTAAAAGCTGGTTACTTAAATTCCTGAATAAATGTTTTCAGCACTATGCTGTTGTTTCAAAATTTATCTTCAACAAAGATATCGACGGCACTGCACCAGTGGTTTTCATGGAAATTCTTGTGACTACAATACTTTGAGCTTTAATACAGTGGCATCTTAAACTTTTGTGTGAGTTCAGAATATATGTGCAACATTGCATTCTTCCAGGGACTATCTAAACAGTTAAATACGAGCTACTCAACTAGGCATTCAGCCCAGACAGGACAGCAACGAGTGATGCAGATTTCATTTCACAGAGATATAGCCAGTTACATTTATTTTCTGGTGAAACAGTCTGCTAGGGGCTTTTGAGAATGTAAGTGGATTGGTAGGGTTTTAATGAGACCACAGTAAATTAGATGTACCGAGGTTACAGTCTAGGCAACTTAAGTGCTCTTTTGAATCTCACTCTAGAACCATCAGAATGGTACCAAAATTAGATACAGCAAGGAAACATTTCTCAATCACAAAGACTGATTGTGATCAAGAACTGATCTATCAGTATTTACATTAGCTTACGTGAATTTCCAAAATGGACAAAATCTTTTAATAGCAAGTAAGATCTATCTTCACCTGTCATGATCTGTTAGAGAAAACAGTTTTATACTTATTTGTAGGCTTCTTAATATTTTTTTTTTAATTATGCGTTGCTTGGGAACATTTATATATATTCAGCTACTGTGTGTACAGTAAGGTACTGTCATTACTCCCCCTCTTCAGAACACACTGAAAGTTTGTTGAACATTAAATGTTAGTCTGAAAGACAGATAGGTTTTCGTCAATAGTGTGAGACTTTAAAGTGCAACCAAAGGGAAGAAATAGGAACTAAGTAAAATAGAAAGCCACTTCCGTTACATTTCCATTATATGATTAGCCTGAGCAAAATTGGACCAGAATTCATACCTTGCCCCAGAAGGATAATTTCATCCCTTAAGCTGAGTAAAGTGCCCACTGAGTTGAGTTTCTGTTACTGTAGCCATGACAATTCCTGTTTCAATGATCCAGCAAAATGGAATCCTCTCCTAAATACCATTTCCCTAGAGAAAATAAGCAATTAAAGAACAGCAACAAAAGAATATTTATACATCTAAACTGCCTAGTTTCTTCTTTGATAATGTCTACTTGTGAATATGTCTTTCTGTGAGGTTTTATGTTTGTTTATGTGCGCTCAACAGAAGGTGCCAAAAGCATCATTACATATGAAGCAAATACCGTAACGTTCATCAGAAACAGTCAGGCTGATAGCTGATAGTTGTTCTAAGCCTGACAGGGCCATAAGAAGCAAGGATGTCAGACATGAACATCATGTCAATATGTCTTTATGCCTGTATTAGCATAACCTTGGCAATACTAGGGTTGTCCTAGAAAGGTAGCTACAAAACATAATGATCCATGTTTTACATTTAAAGAGAGGTCGATGATGAATTAAAGAAATTAACAGATTATTATTTTGACTAACCTGATACAATAACATAAGACCAAATCTAATCTCACATATATGAGAAAAAATTGATTGGCTTTGGTGGGATTTCAGTCAGGGCACAACTATGGATTATATTTTTAAAAGTATTTAGAAGTGAAAGAACTCATATACCAAATGCAGTGGTTTTTCAAAAATTGGAAACAAGGTAGTTTTTTTCGTGAGCACAGAATCAACAGAACTCTACAGTCTCCCATTGCACTCATCCATCTTCACAATTTTACAGTTAACAGTCAGAAAAAAGTCCAACACAGCACTTTGAAAGAAAAATGACTCTCTTACAGGACATAGCTAGTGGCTCTGTGTTGAGAGAAGCAAATGGTATGCATTCAAACATTGACAGAATGTTTGTGTCATCAATAAACCCTTCTAATTAGTGAGCCGTAGTTTAAGGAGTGGCAGTTCTGTCACCATTATTGCTCTGCAGTCTTTAATGTGTCGGGTACACAATTTCTCCCTGATGTTTTGTCAACTAAAGTCACGGAAAACACCCATGAGATACTTCTTTAAATGTAATATCAGAAGCCTCATTTAACCTCATACTAAGTTAAATCTTTAATTTTTACTTTTCTTTTTCCCCAGGAATTTTACAGTTGTTAATTCAAAAATCATCGTTGTTACTATACGACCTGAACCCAAAACTACAGATTCTTTCCTCGAGATAGAACTGGCCCATCTGTCTAATGTAAGTAAAAGGATAGTTTATACACCCTTCCAAGAACATTTATCAGATCATATGAGGAAAATTTGTTTTAAATACCAGGTAACAAAACCCAGTTTAACTGCTAAAACTTGAACCCAGAAACAGTCTAACATACTTTGAAGGGAATGTGTACTTGTTTCATGCATGTGAATATGCAAAACAAAATTAATTCTGGTTCCGTGAGTTTTGAGGTTTTCATTTAAATGGCAATTTCTACCAAAAACTCTCCATTAACTGCTTTGATGGATGCAATTGAAAATGTAGTATTGTGCTGAATGCTTAACCTTTTGCTCCCCGCATAGGTCATAGAGCTGCGTTGTTCTTTGGGCTTTTTCTTCTTTTCTGTCATTATTTTATACTCAAAAGCCAGATTTTACCTAACCTGTTGTAGCAGACACTGAAAAAAATGCTCTGCTTTCAATTTAACTTAAAATTCTTATAAGTGTTTGAGATTTTTTGTGCAATTATTTTTAATACTGTACTTTTCAGCCTTTAATCTCACATTAAAATGCTTCAGTTCTGAAAAACAAAGTGATTTTATGTCTAACTATATAAAAAATATTGACAGTTTTTCTTTCTGCTGTCAGCAATCTTGCATCAGCCACAGGGAGAATAAACTGTCTTTTGTGGGAAATTTTTGTTGTGTATGATATCGAGGAAATAACGTTAAATAACAAGCACGGGAGTAATTTATGTGAAGGCATGGTATATAAACATTTTTATGTTACTAAGAGTTAGAATTTAAATACTTATAAAAATAGACAATTAGAAAAGACATAGTTACTAGAGCTTTAGTAAACAGTATTGTTATGCAAAAGACTTTAAAGCTGTGATTTTCTGTTATAAACAGTTGCTGAAGGGATCATATAGGCACAATTCACCTGGAGGAGTTCCAAAGATACCAGTCAGTAGCAAAGTTGGAGTAGTGATTAGTGGATTAGTGTCTCTGGGCAAAAGTATGAAGAAAACTCTTCGAGCTCTAGATCTTTGATTTACATTTTACTCAAGGTTAGAAGAAACTATTTTGCCATCAGTTGTCATTCAATTCCCACAAAAACTGATAATACAAAGAAAATCTCAGTAAAATTTGCTGCCATGTCAAGCAGGAAAAAAAGAAAAGAACAGAGGAACATAAACTGAGCTGACTCCTTACCTTTCAGTAAGTTTAGAAGTTTATTGATGAAGAATTGTCAAAATTTTCGTTTATGTTTCTCTGTTTCTATTTAATTTTAAGATGTTTTAGGGTGGGTAGATCTGTTTTTTTGTTTTGTTTTCTAACCCAAGTTACAACATATATATTAAAAAAAAGTATAAATACCAGGTTTTAACATAACTTTAGTTCCTGTCAGAGATTTCACAAAAAATGTAACAGAGTATTTGCTGAAGTAGACCACAAATTAATCCTATATATCAGGGGGGAAAAAACCCCACCTTTGAATGCAATATCTGGAGCAAGTTTTTGCCGAGTTTCAAAATCTTGGAAATGAAATGAAACTTCAATGTTACAAAAGGTCAAATTAGAGACACTGATTGTCACCTTGCTTTGTCAACCTTTCAGTAACAGAATATTAATGAATATTGCATTATCTCATGTCTTGAAAAGGCAAAAAGACACATATATTTTTTCTCCTTTGGCTCAGTTTTTGCCGTATAATTTAATCTGGAGAAGTATCAAATGCTTGGAACAAATTTCCAGTTCTTAAAGTTGCTGTACATACCTAGTACATTTATACAGGATCTCAATCCACCTTAATAGTTAAGTGTTAGATGGACAGATACAATGACAAAATATTCTCTAGAAGGTCTGGAAATGGAAATCAGTTTTACAGTTTTAATATCTTTAAATGTTAAAAGTCCATAATGGGACTTTGGTTTAAAGAGCTGTAGATGTATAGAAATATTATTTTGTACATTTGGGTGTTTCTTTCCTTCAGACTGAATCTAATTCTAATCATTTTTGCTACCATTTTCTCATCAGAAAACAATAATTTATTTGATTGTAATTTATAATGATAGAATAAGCTTTATATGTCACATATAGAAAGATAAAACTGGTATTAATGTATCTTCAGTGTTTGAACGTTATATATTAATGAATCACAGATTAATCATGATGTCAATTAAATAGATTAATTATTAAACAGAAAATAAAAAACAGACATTCTCTTTCATCTGATTTTTGAAATGGTTCTTCTTGTTGTTATATTTGCTCTTTGCAAACTTTTGCTCTTGAAATGCTGTTCATTATTCTGAACAGTTTGTTTCCAAATTGATTTAATGACTAATTTTCAAGCAACCTCTGGAGCATGCCTACTGATATATGGGAGTATACCCACACTTTTGTTCTTTAATCTACCCATTCACTGAGTAAATAAGGTAGATAAGAGATTATGAAAAATGATAGGCAAATGTGATCATTTAATAAATTAAAATGTTTAACTCAAATTAGCCTTAAAATATTCATTTATCCAAAATTTATAATCATTTCTTTTTATATTAAAATTAGCCAGTTTATTAATAAAACCAGAGGATTATTTTGTGGACGAAGTGTAAATCACAATTACATGTGCTGTTTGGAATATAGCATGGCATTTGGATTTGCAGATAAATTAAAATGTAATAGATGACCACAGTGAGAATGTGGGTTGCAATGCATTATTTAGAGAACACATTTGGTCTTATGCACTGTGAACATGTTGATGAATGTCATCACATTTTTCTACTGGTTTGATTAAAGAGACACGGAAGTCATCTTTTAAAAACTGCACAACTCCAACAAAATTCTATTTGCTCCCAAGAGAATATGAACTCTCACCTTCTGACAGCACAGAAGTTTACTCCAGGGACACTAAAGTAACAAGCCAGCAGTAGCATAGGACATCAAACTTTCAATGAGGCTGAAAATCCTGGCTACAAAACACAATTGGCATTGTGCTGCATAGCTGTCAAAGTTGCCAATCACATCTCGAAAGTTCAGTTTTATATCCCAGGCAAAGATACATACACATGCACACTCACACATATATATCTAGTTTTGATATATCCAAGTCCTTTACTGTACTGTAGTCTATAAATCAGTACTGCAACAGTCGTAAACATTAATGGACACAGTAACTGCTTCCTTAGCTGCAGCTAAGTAATTAACTGGCAAGAGCTGCGATGAAAAATTGCTGCCCTCGCAGAGAGCGATGGTTGTTGGAGGTAGCTCAACAACAGCAGTGTGAGGAGATATTGCAGGAGGGGAGACTCAGAAAGACTGTAAAAAAGGGAACAACAGGTTAAGGATGAAGAAGAAATCGAGACGATAGGCTTCTTGTGGTCCTTGCAGTGCTCGAAGGGTGTTTGATCAGGGTATCACAAGATGAAGTTCTGAAAGGCTACTGTGCCCCTGTGAGCTGCCATGCCTGGCAGAGCAAACCATCACACAAGACCTTCTTAAGGAACAGAAGTATTATTTATCTTGCTTTCCATGTTTCAGCTTAATCTCTCATTAGTAACTGCAATGGACAAACATACTCTTTTTTTTTATTTGAATGCATTTCAAAGAGAGTGAAGCATCTGATCTGACAGCAGCAGTTTTATTGTGTTTCAGCTTTCTGCAAAGGCTTTTATTTCCCTCTATTTTATAGATTTTTTTATAATGGACATTTTTTCTGAAAGTGTTTTTGTATTCTTTCTACTTGCACTGTGGGAATAGCAAGTATAAACTGTATGGTAACTTCTGCTAGAAAAGACAGGTCTCAGATATGCAATGTCTTTATTACAATTCAGCTATAGGAGTACTTTTTTAATATGCATATAGTTATATCAGATTGCAAGTAGAATTTCTTCACCCAGTCTTAGGATACAAATTAATACTCTTTATAAAAAGAAATTTTAAAACCAGGTTAATTCTGCACCGTCATTCCATTGTTCTTAATTCTTACTCTTCACTATCCTCTTCTATGAATGTATCTGAAAGCTTTTGGCTAATGATGCAGGACCTGGTCTCTGAATCTCAATGGGCCTGTTATCCTGTGCTTTGTCCTGTGCCCTCTTCCCCGTCCTCTTCTTTATATTATAAATACTTCAGGGAATGTAACATCCTTTATTTATGTTTGTATAGTGTTGTGTTAATATCAGGTGCCATAAGTATATGTTGGTTTTAAATATTTATACTCTACTCATAAAATTCAATGCAGTCAGCAAAACACTGAAGTAGAATATCAAAATTTCCCTAAATGCCTATCTCACAAGCATCTTCAGAAGGAACTTTTTTATCTTTGACAAAGAGGTGGATGGAAGAATTTAAATATTGAATATATTTTTACTTCACAGGTTGCCATGTTTTTTCCATAAATAAAACATTTTCAGAATGAAATATCAAGGCATGTTTTGTCTATATGAAACTATATTTATATCTACTGCACCAACACTGTTCCTGAGAGAACGACACTAATATTGACATAAGAAAATAGTGTATTCCACCTGTTTCTTCAATTCACTTGCAGTTTGGTTAAAAAAAAATATTTTAATTCTGTATTTTAGATCGAATATATTTATAAAGTTCTGACTTCTGGGAATATCCAATGTTTCTGATGAACAGGAATACAATTTTGCAGTTTTTAGCCAGTTAAGTACTTCTAAGTCAACCTGAGTTTTGATAAAGGAAGCTTTACAAGATTAGGGACAAAACTTGAATTTTAATTTTGTCTCAGTTCTTCCTAGGCAGAAAAATAAATATGAGTAATAAGAAAGACATTTCAATTTCCCAAAACATTACCCACACTTTAATGATGTGTAGTAAAGCTAGATTCCTGTCCTGTTTTAAATCAAATCAGAAATCTTCCACTGGCTTCAAAGAGGTTGAGATGGGATTGTAAAGCTCAAGAGAGAAATCATTTTGAGCAAAGAACTCTGCTGATTTAGGACCTAATTGACAAAAGGACTTGGGTATTGAATGTGCAATCATCTGAAATCCCAGTCTCCAGATATTTTGGCCAACATATGCTTAAAATTTTAACGGCATTACTGGTTTTGACATCCAAGTTCCCGAAGGGCCTACAGTTCTGCTTCTGAACACACCCAGAAATGTTCAGTCAAGTCTCTTAACAGATTAACTTTTATCTCATATTTCAATTCTGTTAGGATATACCAAATAGACAACTTTATGCTTACCTTACCTAAGTGAGAGAATATAGCAAATGCTCTGCTTTGAGGTTCAAGTGCGTTTTAAATACTCCATAAGAATTAACCTTAAGCTTTTGCTATTTCAGTGGCATCAATTTGTCAGAGTATAAGGGTGGTCTTGTAGGAAGAGACCGAACTAAATATTTAGGGCTAGCATGACATATTTTTTTGTATACCAGTAACTAATGGGTTTGTTTGTTTTCTTCTTAGGGTACATTGAATCCCTACTGTGTGCTGTGGGATGATTCAAGAACGTAAGTGATGGATGTTTACTTCTTTTGCTATGGCTCATATATTACAAAGTACCTAACAATATTTAAGTAGTTGGTCAGTAAATGAGGGCAGGGAAAATGAACATGTCACAGAGTGAAAGTACTGGATTCTCCAGTCACTTGGCTTCCTTTCTGCAGCTATGTAAATTGAAATGTATAATATCACACCAGGAAGAGATTACTCACATAGTAATTTGAATCTGCTTTTTCAAGATTAAAATGAGGATGTCTAAGAACTGTAGTTCCTTGATGGTAGTTGCTGGGCAACAAGCAAGTGGGTAGATGATCAGACAGATAAGTAAGGAAGGCTCCCATTTCTGTTACTGCAAGGAGAAATATCATTTTCAAGTGTGATACCCACAGCAATCTTCATTTTAGTTGGTGCAAATTTTCATTTTAGTTTAGCAAAGTAATAGCGGTATTCTAAATAGTGAAAGCTTGCTAGCAGTCTTCTGCTACATTTTTCAGTGTGTGTCTCTTCTGTAGCAAAACGGAAAACGTCACTGTAAAGAACTAAAGCAGTAAAGTCAGTGTGGTTTAAAAAGAACTCCAAGTTTATGCTGTTGTAATTTGCTGCATTATTCTTTTGCAGTAAATCTCCTATTAAAGTCAGGGTGAACTCTGCCTAAATACAGATTAAGTGTTTCAAGAAGAATCCCTATGTGGTTGTCAAATTAATTTTTTTTTTTTTAAGATGATGTTGTGCTTCTTGTCCGGGTATGTTTGTCTTGTACTACAGACTCATCTACAATGTTAGAAATTGTATGGCTGTGGCTTTGTGAGTGCTGTTATCCTTGAGTCTGGGTTTACATCAGTACTCTGATGGCTGAGAAACAACATAGTAGTATAGAAATGAGAAACTTTGGGCATGATACTAGAAATCATTCCAAATACAGCTAGTACCGTGGTCTATGCCTCTACAAAAGAATCATAGTGCAGTTATTTGCCAGCAACATCATAATCTTCCATTTCTGTAAAATGTGTGGAATAAAGTACATGAAAGATTTGATATTATGTATTATTATGTGCACATGGAATGCAAAACATTTGGAACATGTTCTTTGTTTTCTTTTCACAATGTTTTACTTACACAGTAGTAGTACAGTGCTTTATTTACCATTTTTTGCATGCATTACTTTAAGCATTGTCTATTTCGAGCGCATGCTCTGATTTCACTGCTCCAGTCTGGAATATCAAAGACATATTTCCATGGAATTAGACTACCAAAAAAATAAAAAGCATGCTGTGGATTTAACAATGTGATTAAAAGATTTCATGCAGCTATTCAGGATGAATGTGCAAGGCAATCTCAAACGTGTTTTACGCTTATCATTTGTTTTGCATGCATTTCTCTTAGTATTGTTTATAGAGAAGTTGAGTTCTACATATAACTATTGGTTTCACTATGCTTCAGAATCTGGATGGAAAAGTGAACTTTTGAAACATATAAGATTTATACTAGAGCTTACATAAAATAGTCTGAGGTTTTGAAGGAGAAACAGATCATTTTGTATTCTGAAGCGTATTTTTTCTAGTGATATTATTTAATGGTAGCTATTGAAGATGTTAAAATAATTGAAGATAAGGGGTATTCTTGGAGATTTATCCATTTTGAAAAGTTATACGAGCCATGAAATATTTACAATAAGATATGATGTATCAGTAAGTTTTGCATAGATACCATTGTCATTTGTTTTACACATGTATTTGTATTATGTTATATAGCAAATTCTATTTTTTCCCTCCATCCCTTAGGAAAAGGTCCCTAATATTAACGGTGGGAGCATTAGTTGATGCATAATTTTATCTTTTGTAATGCTGTTTTTTTTTGTTTTGGAGCATTTTATTTGTATTTACTCAGGAATACTACAGGATTCGTATTCTGACACCATGAGTTTTGAATTATCATGAAAGCTCTATAATGCTGAATCGATTCCTGTAACTTAAAATAGTAATAAATAAGTATGTAGAGGACTATACAATCAGTTAGGTGCCCATGATGATGTTGGGTTCTTGGTGGCTTGTTTTTTCTTTTATTTTTTTCCACTTTTTTCTAAGTCTCAGGCATTAGCCACTCTCTGCAGCAGGCAACTGGATTTGATGAATCAATAGCCTCATCCTCATTGCAAATCCTACAGAGCTATGCTCATGTCCTTCAAACTGGGTAATTTTTGCATTACCAGGATTTGGCCAGTATTTTGGAACAAAACCAACACAAAGAAGTCTGCTTTTAATTGAAGGTGCTTAACTATTCAGTAGTCTATGCTGAGACAGGTGTTTTACATTAAGTGCTTTTCAGATGAAAACTGTGTTCACTTTTATCATCGGCATACAGCCAGCAGGACCATCTAATGGGTTTTGCGACCTTTTTAGCCACTTCTCCCACATCTTTGACTGCATGCATTGCAAGTCCACATTTGGTAAATGGCACTTCCTCCACTGATCTTGTCAGCTTAATACTTTTGCAACAGCAGGGGAACCTGTCTGTCTGGGTTTTGGGCAGGCTTCTTAGGAGGTTGATCAGTGATTAACAGTTCTCTGTCACCTATCCTTGAAGGAAATTCTGGATCTGTGAGCTGTTTAATCACACCAGATGATTAAAACTATCCTACCTTCATTTCTATCTGTGACAATTTAGTCAGAATAACTTTGGCAAAAGCAGTTTTAATCTATTATTTCTATGACATTCCGTGATTCTTCCCTGCGATGATATTTTATAAGGTTTTCTATTTATCAAGCTAGCAGCCTTGTGCCCTCTCCATAGACAGCTAGTCAAATGTGTGTACAATATTGAGACAGTACAACTAAAGAATAAAATATTATGTCACGTATTATAAAGGGCAAACTCAAATCCAATAATTCAGCATTTTATTTCAGTTGATTCTCCCAAAACATAGAGCATATCTGTCTGTGTCGATTAAAACTAGGCTGTTTATGAGTTCTGGTGCTTCCTTTGGTATTTCCACTTTACCTACACAAAGCTGGTAGCATCAATGGTATGAAGGTGATTTCACTAAGGGGAAGTCGTGTCTGACTAATCTGATAGCATTCTATGATGAAGTGACTGGATGGGTGGATGAGGGGAGGGCAGTGGATGTTGTCTACCTTGACTTTGGCAAGGCTTTCGACGCTGTCTCCCACATAATCCTCACAGGCAAGCTTAGGAAGTGTGGGTTAGATGAATGGACAGTGCGGTGGATTGAGAACTGGCTCACAGATAGAGCTCAGAGGGTTGTGGTTAGTGGCGCAGAGTCTAGTTGGAGGGTAGTAACAAGTGGTGTCCCTCAGGGGTCAGTACTGGGCCCAGTCCTGTTCAACATATTCATTGATGATCTGGATGAAGGGATAGAGTGTACCATCAGCAAGTTTGCTGATGACACAAAACTGGGAGGGGTGGCTGACACACCAGAAGTCTGTGCTGCTTTACAGTGTGACCTGGACAGGCTGGAGAGTTGGGCAGAGAGAAACCTGATGAAATTCAACAAGGGTAAGTGTAGGGTACTGCATCTGGGGAGGAATAACCCCATGCATCAGTACAGGTTGGGGGCTGACCTCCTGGAGAGCAGCTCTGTGGA